GGTGTGGAACATCTCACTGCGAGTGCTCTGCTGCATGGGATCCTACCTGGGTCATGAGGACATGCAATGGGGACAGAGATGGGACCAAATGCCACAGGGGAACTGCATCCATGGGACTGAGCTTTCATTGCCCACAGTGGAGCACAGATGGTGCCACCTTCTTACCCATCCCGCACATCCCAGAGCTGAGGCCATGGAAGAGCAATGGCCAGGACTGCTCTCCCTTCTTATCTCACAGTATGTGGCAATTGGAGGAATTGATTCTATTTTGGGCAAGACCACGGAGTCCTTCCTGCATTTTGCAACCCTCAGAGTTGGCAGGTCTCCCTCTGTCCCCTCAGCACCCATGCAGGTGCCCATTCTGCCACCTGCCCCCTCTCCATCAGACCTCAACCAACTGCTCCTATTCTCCGTAATGGGGTCATCAAATACACAGAGTGGATTTGGCAATTATTCGTGTCCCAAGCAACAGGACCAGGAGAGCAATCAGAGTCTGCTGAGCCCCTGTCCCCCCCAAACATTCTGCCCATGCTCCCGATGAGCAGCTTGAGAAGCAGTGAGGGGAGCAGGAGGGCAAAGCATCCCCTGTGTCCTTCTGTCCCCAGAGCCCTGTGAGGTGCCTGCACCTGCAGGAAGCTCCGCAGTGGCCCAGGTGCCCTGATGTGGCCAAGCCTCTGTCTGGCACCTGCACGAGGCCAGCAGCACCCACACTCCTTGGTGCAGCAATGGGCCCCATGGCAGGACACAAAGAGATGCCAGGGCACAGGGAAAGGGACAAGAGGGGTGCTGAGGATGGGAGGGGAAAGGGTGGGCAAAGGCTGCGTGGCAGTGCGGGCACCTGGCTGGGACACAGGGGGACAAAGGGAGAGCTGCCAGCACCAATGGCTGCAAAAAGAACCAGGTACCCCATAGCCTTTTCCCAGATAGAACCACTTTCCCTGATTGCCACACACCTCAGGGACATGCAGGGACAGGCAATGCTGGCTGCTGCCCTGGCTGTGGCTTTTGCTCTCCCTCCATGGCAGGGTACCCATGTCCACAATCCTCTGGTGTCGCAGATGATAGATAAATATAATTGTTCATAAATAATACATCAGCATGAGAACAGTTCTCCCATCTAGCCGGACAATGACCCTGCCTTTGAATGTGTCCTGGGGTGAAATGGACTGTTTCATCCCACCCCCCAAAAGATGTATGGTTCACCCCACACTGTTGCCTTCAGGTGAAGGCAAGGTGACCTGGTTGCAAGGAACAGCACGGCAGCCTGGTCTGGCACAGGCCACTCGGGCCAACAACACGCACTGACACCAATGTGGTGGACGGTCAAAAGGCCTTTATTATCTTATCTCATGGGTTTAAATAGTCTCGGCGGACTTTGCTACGTCAGAGGAGGTTGGTAGGGCCTCTAGGGTTAGTGAGGAGTGGAAAACTACTGGGTTAGGTGTGGTTACATGTTCTGGGGGTAGTAGATAATGTGTTGC